ACAAGACTTGTATGACTCGATCCAATCAAACGGATTCCTATTAACGGTATTCCGCTATAAGTTTACGGAACCGGAGATCGCGTTGAACTCATTGAACAGAAAGTCATTTCTCAATAATAATGAACTGAAACTACGTTTAGAAAAATTCGTGACAATTGCCAAAAGTGTTGGTTTTCGTCTAATATGCAAAAAGTGCGATAAAATAGGAACGGTATGTCTGTTGTTTAGAAATATGTTTAAAACACATCCACATCCGGACAGTCATAATATTATTAACATAACGGGCGGTGATTATCAGCAATGGTTTGGAGTATTGCAGGAAAGGGTGATTGAGGCCAAGGAGGCGGACAATCAAACGGATAACGTATGGCTGATTGCAAACGACTCGTCCATTAATGGGATAATAGGTCTCATGAATTGCTTACGATTAGAGCCGGGAGGAGGGAACTGGAGATATATTTTCAATTACGACAGCACTGGTAGTCCAATGGATATAGACTTCAATGTCAGCCCTTATAGCGATATATTGGCCAACGATTTGGTGGCGAATATAAACAACAGACATACCGTTCCTATTTTATCGCACTTTTTGCATATTAGACGAAAACCAACACTTTTGGTGGCGAATGTCGTGAAAGAGGGAAAAGTGGGAACTTATCGACACTTAAGACTTCCCACGGATTACGACAAATGCCTCTCAAATGACTATCACTTGAATTCATCAAAAATGGGTGATTTGGGAGGCATTAAGTGGTATGACTCTCGGAATATACACCGGGTTAATGAAATATGGGGAATTAATAATCAAAAATTGAGCATGGCGAGAGTAGAAATCTATTACTCTGGTATCACATTTAAGGATATCATGTTGGCAACTGGTAATTATTTTAGAACCAATTTTTAAAAATCAAAACAAACTACATGTTAATATGTGTTTATTACCTAGGTCGTATACCGTCTGGCTCTGCACAATTATTCACCGACTGCTCAATTGGTTGTGAATACACCGGTCGTAGGGCCGACACGGGTGAACGTGTGATGGGTCTGGTGGGAGGCCGTTCAATCGCCACCTCTATTAACGCCAATATCTCGGGTATGACTAAAATACCCGACCACTGGTCTATGGCTGAGGCGTCCACTATTATGAACAATTATGGCACCCTTTGGTATGGACTCATAAAACGTGCCAATTTGAAGAAAGGTAATTTAAGAGTATATGCTTGAGTGTTTTTAATAACAGAATAAATATACTGTAAAACTGAATATTAATATCCTTAAATCGATTGAATATTTATAATATAGTAATATCCTATAAGTAATGTTTAAGCTTTTAAAACAGTTTTTAATTAAACATACTTACAAAATGTTATTCTCTTATTGTTAGTATGTAATTAAAAGGATGTATAAATATTCATATATAATATATAAAGCATTATATTTTTATTTTGTATTAATTTTAAGGCGAAAGCATTTTAATACATTCGGCGGCGGGAGGTATCGGACAGTCGGCTATCAATATCTGCAAACACTATGAGTGCGATATCTATGTGACGGTCGGCACGGATGAGAAAAAACAGTTTCTTATGAATGAGTATAACATACCGGAGAAAAGGATACTGAACTCGAGGGACATTTTGTTCAAGAATCAGGTCTTAGAGTTAACGAATGGAAAGGGAGTCGATATTGTCATCAACTCGTTAGCCGGAGAGAAACTGGATGCTAGCTATGAGTGCCTGGCTAATTGTGGCAGATTTATAGAGATCGGGAAGTTTGATATGCTTCAGAACAAGAAGCTGGGTATGTTTGACTTCCTGAGGGACATACAGTTCATTGGTGTGGGGTTTGATGTCGTCAATATGGAGAACCCAAATTTGTTGCAAGACTTTTACAATTGGATGCATAAGAACTGTACGAATGGTTGCGTAAAACCATACAATTATACCCTTTATAACGCCTCGGATGCGGATAAGGCCTTCAGATTCATGACAACCGGTAAACACATCGGGAAAGTAGTGCTGAAAATTAGAGACGAAGAGACGGATAGACAGCCACTGAAAGCTATTAAACCGGCCGTCAATATGATGGTTACGGTTAAGACGTATTTCAATCCAAACAAAGTCTACATAATAACTGGAGGTTTGGGTGGGTTTGGTATGGAATTAGTTCCCTGGATGATATATTACGGTGCGAGAAAGTTTGTGGTGACCTCGCGGTCAGGGCTCACAACTGATTATCAGAAATATATATACAATCGGTTCCAAAGAGTTTGTAAAAATTATAAATATTTCTCATCCGATTGGGTCGTGTCGACCGCCAATGGGCTTACTATTGAAGGCACACAACAACTCCTAAAAGAGGCCCAAAAGTTGGGTCCCATTGGAGGGGTATTTCATTTGGCGCTTGAATTGAATGACTATTTGATAGAGAAGTTAACGTTAGATAAGTTTTACTCGACTATTGATACCAAACATAAAATATTTGCAAATTTGGATCAATTGACCCGAAAATTGGACTATAATTTGGATTATTTTGTCGTATTTTCATCGCTGGCCTGCGGTAAGGGAAATGGTTGTCAAACTAACTATTCGTTTGGGAACTCTATGTGTGAACGTATTTGTGAACAACGCCGGAGGGATGGCTTACACGGACTGGCCGTACAGTACGGACCCATCGATGATGTCGGAGTGTTTGATGTCTCGGATGACTGGTTGTCGATGTCTTCAATAAGGAAACAGCGGATCCACTCGTGTTGCGATGTTTTGGACAAATTGTTGGCAATTAAACAGCCGATAGTCACGTCATATGTAAGAGACTATACATTGACTTAATTTAGTTTTTAATGCTTCATATGAACGATAAACTCAAAGTGAATCACTCATATTCTAATACAAACTAAATTATAAAGTGTTTAAAGTTAAATCACATATTTACCCAGTTCACAATGTATTGGTGGTTCTCAAAAGTCATTTCAGTCAAAACACAACGAAAATAAGATTTATCTCAATAGCCACTAAAGATAACAAAATGATATTTAAACCTCAACTTCCGTTTTTGGTCTAATGTATTCTTCCGAAAACAAGACGTGGTTTGTGAATATACAGAATAACCTGGCTGAATATTCAAAACTTACAAATTTTGATTTGCTTTATATATGTTATTTATTAAGATATCTCAAAGTTGTAAAATGCCAATATTTAAGTTCAAATTGATCATCTGATCAAAATTATTTTATCATTTTTATTTATCAATATTTTATTTGAAATTCTCACCTACCGGGCCTCCCTGTCACTTATTGAGACCTTTCTTTAGGAAATCCCGATCGATGGGTTCCATTAGTTTTATGATTTTAAACGATGTGCTAATTGTTTACAGCTACAGATAAGCTACCGGTGTCCTAACCAAGTCTTCCCTTCGGGAGGGGGGATACATTGATACATTGGACCAAAAACCGTAGTTAAAGTTTAAATATCATTTTGTTATCTTTGGTGGCTATTGAGAAATTCTCATTTTCGTTATGTGTTTTGACTGGAAAGACCAAAAATTTCCGTATGTACTTTGTGGATGACGCCTAATGCTATACGTATTACTAACACGGTAGGTTTTGAGACCCATGCTCGGGAGGCGCCTCATATTTGGGTATTTTATATGGGGTGTGGAACTTATTAATAATAACTATTTTATTAATCTGATTATCTCTCACCACATCGGCACCCAAAGTGCTATGGATAACATGCACAATTATATTTATATATAAAATCATTATTTTAACGATTTAAAAATTGAATACCAAAAATAACACCCTAATTAGGTTTATTACTGTATTTATTTTATATATTATCAATTAAAATTTTGTCTATTCATAGAATTAATGATTTTATATTTAATTGTGCATGCTATCCATAGCATTTTGGCTACCGATGTGGTCAAAGATAATCAGATTAATGAAAATCAAAATAGATATTATTAATAAGTTCCATACCCCATATATAATACCAAAATGTGAGGCGCCTCCCGAGTGGGGGG